TGGCCTCTCTTATCATGCATGCTGGGTTACACTGAAGTTCATAGAACTGCTTAGTAAAGTCTACTGAACCCTGGTGCAAGAACCTTTCACACAGAAGAGAATTCCTTTCACTTAGAAATATTTTAAGAAATAAATTTAGGAAAAGTTGCCTGGTACGATCTAGAAGTCATTATTTGATCAAGATACTAAACCCAAACCTGCATTTTGCAAGCCTTTTATTTTTGTATTTGCAAAGGGCTCTTTACACAAGGTTTACTTACATTGACCTTTTATGCTTTCCACACATGTAGTTTTTAGCAACCTGAAGCAAAGCAGCAAATATAAATTGTACTAACCTTAGTATATTTATATGTCAAATTGGTGAGTGGTACAGGTAAGTCTGGCGTGCCTGAAGACGACATTTCTGGTTCGGCAGCTGGAACACAGGTGACAGGCTCAGCGATTTGGTTCTGATAGAGCCCTTGGCTTTATTTGTTCCTTTTTATCTGCACGGGCTAAGGTTTATTTGCATACTGGAATATGATTGGATGAACAAACTCGGAGCAAAAAGAAAACGACACTACTTATTTGTAACACCTAGGGCAGGAAGCCCTTGACTTTAAACTTAAATCCTTAAGAAACCAGTGCTCCAGCATTGAAACTACATCTGGAGACAGGGCACTATTTGCAGACGAATTAATTGACAAAGCCGAAACCTGTGATAAGGATATGCGGTGCAGCTGCTCTGGCCACTGAGGCCAGTTATTATTTTTTTGGCTTTTCATGCTTTTTTATGCTACTGTGAAACTTTCCGTTCTCTGACAGACTTGGAATCAGAGAATTTGAGGATTGAAAAAGCGTCTCAGAGGGCACTTGTTCTCAGAAGAAGCTGGTGAGGGGAGGTCCCTGGCCAGGTGGCCTCAGGACAATGCTGTCAGCCAATCAGTCCATGCGCCAGAAAAGCAGAGTGGGAAGAAAGTCCCTCCATACAGACCCTACCTCGAGTCAGGTTTAAAAGATCCTACCAATCGAGTGTATTCTTGGTGCTGGGTAAGCAGACCTACTGTGATTGCAGGAGCTCCGAGTTATCTTTGTTATATAGGAGAACAGAAAGGTCAGCAGGATTTTTACAGATCTCCGAGTACACTGTCACACACAGTCACCCGTATAGCAAGATGGCAATAGCGTCTGTTACAACCATCTAAAATGAAAGTAACCCTTGGTTTTGGAAGTTGGCTGTGTTTATCAGTGATTGATACAGGCAGTTGTACAAAAAAGTGGACTCAAACAGGACCCTAAGTCGTTCAATTTCTTAGAATGAATGTTTCAGTCTGGGAACATTAAAAAAAAAAATTAACTGCACTCGTCCCATTTTAAACACAAGACTTTATTGTATTGAAGCTCAAGCAAAAGTTACAATAGGAACACGATGGAAAACCACGGATACTCTTAATTCTGATTATTGAGAGTTGAGAATGACAATTTCTTTTTCCAGGAAAAATTGCCAGCTCTCCCAAATATGGGATTTAGGTAGGGAAACGTAGGCTTATTAAATAGTTGCTCCAAATCAGGCACAGGAGCCTTACTTTCTCTTTCCATTCTTGCTTGGTTCCCCATTTTACAGATAGGGAGAGAGCAAGTAGCTTGCTTAAGATCACAGATCCAACAAGTGCAAGACCAGAATTTCATTTCCCAGTTGGGTTCCCTAAGTGAATAGTCACCCTCACGCACACTTACAGTTATTAGCCCTTTTACTCATCTAAGATAGGGTTAGCAAACATTTTCTCTTAAAGAGACAGAAAATGTTTTCTGCTTCTCTGGCCCAGATGGTTTCTGTTGTAACTTACTCGACTCTACATGCAAGAAACTATAGACAATAGATACATTAATGGGTATAGGTGTTTTCCAATAAAATTTTATTTACAAAAACAGGAGGCAGGCCAGATCGGGCTCATGCGCCAGCCCTCAATTTCTAAAACCACCATCTCCAAGGACCATGCCTGTCGCACCACGTGCTTGAAGGCCAGATAGAAACTTCTGTGTTATTTCACTATTTTTCTCTTTGTCTCTGTCCCTGCCTCTTTCTCTTGCTCTCTTTTTGGAAAATCTAATGGTTTTGTCTTTTAAAAATGTGTTTTGAGTTAAATGCACAATTATACAACAGCTATTATATAACTTGCAGAGCGGTGCTCCAGCCATGCCCAGACAGCTGTGTTTTGCTGCTGTCTTTCTGTTTCCAGCTTTGCAGTGGTCTGTGGATGCAAACACTGGTTCACCTGCTGTCCAACACACGGGTCGTGTCAGCTCACTAGTTCCATGCTCACCCTTGATTTTATTTCACTGAATAATTACATAAGAAGATTTCCCTTCACAGCAGACATTACTGAAGGTAGGTAAAAAGAACAGCTTTGGAAACAGGTTACCACACCTGCCCATTTAATTTCAACAAATATTTACCAAGTATCTTTTCATGGGTGAAGCACCGTGATTATAGTATCAGGAACTCTCCAACTTTAATCTTACTTGAAGAGCAAATTTTGTTTTTCTGCCCAGAAACCACAGGGCCTGCGATCTCTACTTTTGAAGGAAGCATCGTCCTGTCCCGAGAGCTTGCCTTGTGGAATAGTGTATTCCTGGGAATGGTTGCACGGATGGAAGGCTTTATCAGACCACTTCCCTCCTTCACACACCGCACACGGCTTTGGTGAGAGCACAGGGGAGACCCACTTTAAGACTGAACTCAGGGGTGTGCATTTTTATTTTATTTTTATTGCTTTTTTAAACATTTATTTCTGAGAGAGACAGGCAGAGTGCAAGCAGGGGAGGGACAGAGAGAGGTTGACAGAATCCGAAACAGCTTCCAGGCTGTCAGCACAGAGCCCGATGTGGGGCTCAAACTCAGGAACTGTGAGATCATGACCTGAGTCGAAGTTGAACGCTCAACCAATTGAGCCATCCAGGCACCCCTGTTGCAGTTTTATATGTATGGGACTTGAAGTTGGGAGTAATAAACAAAAGATGTTTAATCTTCCTTACCTTCGTATGGACAAGCTAAATTACACACACACACACACACACACACACACACACACACACACACACACACAGATGGGGCAGAGGGATGGGGCAGAAAGAGAAACATAATTTATTCTTTTCTTGAATCTAATAACTTCTTCCAGCCCTTTGAGAAAGCTGTCATTATACCAAGAAACATACAAACTATGACTCCAGCTACTGCTGAAACTACTGTCTTATTTTATAAGGAATCCCTCCAGAGCTCCATTCAAGACTTAGTCGCTGGAAAGATAATGGAACCTTACCTTCTCCCACCCACATGACTAGTTGAAATAGAAACCACTCAAATTTGTGAAACAAACATAATTATTTGGTCAAATAAAAAATAGCTTCTTTTTACATTTTCTGCTCTCAAAATCCAGGGTCGATTTGTCGGAGCTAAATTTTTATGCTGGGTGACATCTCCCTCCCTGGCTCCTCAGTGCTGCCCTAAGCATGGCTGGATGAGTCTGCCGGTTGGTTAATCCAGAAATGGATATATCCCTCTGCTTTGGATCGCTGCAATTTCTGCAGACACGACATTTTTCTTATGCCTATTGGGGCTTTAATAATTTGGAAAAAGTGGGTCTTGTATGTGGCGACAGGATCTGTGCTTGGTTGGCGTGCTGGTGTTAAAAATGGAGGTGGAAGGCAGTATTTGAGGGCTAACTTCTGTTCCTCCGCCATTCTTCTCCAATTAGCAATATCTCCTCACCTCTGATTTCTCCTGCCCTTCACACACCCTTCCATTGTTCTCTCTTTGTTTTGGCAGATGCCCCTCTTATCTGACACAATCAGGACACTGATCAACTAGTAAAGTCACCGAAACAAACAGTAGGCTAAAGCCTCCCTCAGATCCTGAGTTTAGCTTATATAGGTGTTTGCTAAATTTTACGGGCCAAAGACATTTCTTAGAACTGGGTCAGCTGCCAGAGTTTGAAATAATCTTGCATGGCCTTCACAGTGCACTTGTTTCCTCCAAGTGGAGAGAGAAATTAAAGACACTAACGGCATTTTTGAGGCAATGTGAATGTAGACTACTTTGAGATTTTTATGACATTTCCCATATTGTTTTACCATGGTCTTGTGCGTAGATTACACAGGAACATGCTGAACAACTTGACAAGGTTAGGTGTTTGTATAACACTCAGTTTTACACATAGTTTTCATAAATGCAACACTCCTTTTCCTCCAGATTAATCTCCAATTTAAATTACATTTAATTCAGTCATGCAGTTGAAACACTAGGGCTCATGTGAATGATCAGGTTTTGGAGCAGAGATGTGACTATTGGTAAGCAGAGGAAACTGTGCCTTAAACTGGGTGAATACAAACACGAGTGTCAATGCTGTGGTTTTGCTTTTTACTTTTTCAACATATATTAGAAAAGCTTATTTATTTTGAGACACAGAGAGAGAGCATGCACATACATGCACACGCATGCCTGTGAGCTGGGGAGGGGCAGAGACAGGGAGAGAGAGACAGAATCCCAAGCAAGGCTCCACACTGTCAAGGTAGAGCCGAATGAGGGGCTTGAACTCACAAACCATGAGATCATGACCGGAGCCGAAATCAAGAGCCAGATGCTTAACCAACTCAGCCACCCAAGCGCCCCAGCTTTTTCAACACTTTAAAAAAAAACATTTAAAGTCAAACATACCATACATATATAGAAAACTGTAAAAATCATAAGCGTACGTTTCAATAAATACTCATAAAATGAACAAAACAAAATCACTATTTAAGTCAGAGAACAGAGCAATATCAGTACCTCAAAGCCCACCTTGTATATCCTCCCATCTCTATCCCCTTTTCTCTCACCCTACATTAGGATATCACCAATAGCCTAACTTATAATGCCATGCATTCTTTTTTTCTTTTTTCCTGAACTTTCCTGGCTTTACATGTCAGCTGCCTGTTGGGCACCTGAGCTGCATGTCACATAGTCATATACCTGGGTTTCCAAACTCAAGAGCCTACATATTTGTTTCATGTGAACCCATGCAGTGTATAACAACAAGAAAACTAGAAACATGTGAAATGTTTCTTCTTTTAGTTTAAAAAATTAAGACCTAGATTTTAACTTCCTAAAGGAGAAGACCCAAGGAGTGGTGTTAGCCTGCTGGCCCACTGAAATCACCCAGGGAATTCAAAACAACACAAAACAAGGCAAAACAAAACAAGGCAGAGATTCCTATTCCCTGGGAGTGGTTTGAGCCCAGATATCAGTATGCATGCAAAGGTCCTGTGGTAGTTCTGAAGTGTAGTCAGCTATCAGAACCACTGACGCAGTTCTGGCTCCACTTTGTCAAGGTCCGAAGTTGCAGCAACATCCACTTCTCACGGAAGACTTCTACAAAATGCAAAG